GTCACCGTTTCATCGTTTGGTTGTTTTTTTAAGCACCATTTCTTCACACATACAGGTATTTAAATCAATGAACTTGCAATAGGAATAAGTTTGGCCTCATTCGCTCAACTACGCTACACGTGACGATTGTTTGAGCGTTCGATGGCCTCCAACTGTGCATGGATAGGACAGTACGCAACATGTCACCGTTTCATCGTCTGGTTGCTTTTTTTAGCACCATTTCTTCACACATTCAAGTATTTACGTCAATTAACTTGTCATAGGAACTAGTTTGACCTTTTTTGCTCAACTGTGCAGCACGTGACGCTTGATTGTGTGTTCGATGGCCTGAAACGTTGCATGGATAGGACAGTACCCAACATGTCACGTTCATCGTCTGGTTGTTTTTTAAAGCACCATTTCTTCACACATTCAGGAATTTAAAACAATTACCTTACTATAGGAAATAGTTTGACCTCATTTGCTCAACTTTGTAGCACGTGAAGCTTGTTTGACCGTTCGATGGCCTGCAACTGTGCAGGGACACAGTAGGACAGTACGCAACATATCACCGTTTCATCGTCTGGTTGTTTTTCTTTAGCACAATTTCTTCACACATTCAGGAGGGATCAATCAATTCCCTCTCCATAGGAAATGGCTTCAGCTCATTCGCACAACTGCGCAGCACATGACGCTAGATTGTGTATTCCATCGCCAACAAATGTGCAAGGATAGGACTATACCCAACATGTCACCGGTTATTCTTCATGTTGTTTTTTTATAGACTGCTTTAACCCTGGCAGGTTGAACAAGCAATTACATTGCCATTAGGGGTGTAACCGATCTGCATGCGCGATCATCTACCAAATATGTGGTGTTTACCAAGCAAACCTACTGAGTAGCCACCTATCATCATTAGCGTTCAGCTGGATTAAATGCACAGCACGTTTGATACCTTCCACCTGGATGACGCGGTACCGATCACGCTCGGGTGCCCACCTTAGTGCAGTGCATTTGGTCGCTCTGTCTAGTGCGTTTTGTGCCTGGTAATATTTGATATAGGCCAATCCTTTATCCCTGCCATCCAAGCGGATGTGGAACAGTAGCAGCACCTTTGCGTACCACTCTTCTCTCCCACGAGCTCCAGTACCTTCCACCGCGACATCCGTATACCATGGCCTCCCATGGTGGGATGGAAGCGCTCGCACCCGGTGAGGCAGATGACTGTACGGTGCGTCGACAGCAGCAGGCATGGCAAGCTCCCAATGAACCTGCCATTTCGAGGTACGGGCTATTTCGGTTTTAGATATTCGGATGCTGCCACATTAGGCGGAAAAAAAGATTAGAGACAGCAGGCATAGAATAGTGAAACAAATGATGGAACGAACTACTAAAGCTATTGGGGTTCAATTAAACTCGCATTGATGTGTTTGAACTCGCTGCCGCGTCCTGCACACCCAGGGGCGCCATTGAGTGCGCCCCTTAAGTGTGCAAGGTCTTGCCCAATGGCGTTCTGTAGGGGTACATCCCTTGAAGCCTGTGGTGCGAATGGGAAGACATATGGAGGGGATTTGGGTGCATCGGGCACGTGCAAACACCAACTCCTGCGAGAGAGTATCCGCTCCCCTGTGCGATGGGCCCTGACCATCGCCGTGTCGTACTTCTTTTTCCGCTCCAATGACGGGGCCAAGGACGCGATCCGCAGCCTCATCTCCTCGCTCTGCACGACCTGGGCATTCACATTCTACTTGTTCGATGCACGGTACGAGTTCTTAATGAACTCTATGTGGAGGTGTTCGTACAGCTGCGCGCAGTAGTGCTCTGGGAGACCGGCGCGCTGAATGCAGTCCACGTAGTGACTGATGAGGTGCATTTTTATGAAGTTCCATTCTGAAGGTTGAGCAAACGCCTCCTACAGGCCATGTAGCATCCAGCATGCCAGAGATAGACAGTAGGGGCAGAGTACGTGATTATGGGGCAGAGAAGGTGAACATGGGGCAGAGATGTGATGAACGGTCAGAGAAGTTTACGAATGGGCAGAGAAGGGATGATGGGGCGGATATGTGATGACGGGGCAGAGAAATTGATGGGGGGGCAGAGAAGGGGTGATGGGGCAGAGAATGGGATGGATGGGCAGAGGTGGTGATGATGGGGCAGAAAAATATGAGGGGCCAGAGAAGGGATGATGGGGCAGAGAAGGTGGTCATGGGGCAGAGATGTGATGATGGGGCAGAGAAATTGATGGGGGGGCAGAGAAGGGGTGATGGGGCAGAGAATGGGATGGATGGGCAGAGAAGGCGATGATGGGGCAGAAAAATATATGAGGGGCCAAAGAAGGGATGATGGGGCAGAGAAGGTGGTCATGGGGCACAGATGTGATGATGGGGCAGAGAAATTGATGGGGGGGCAGAGAAGGTTGTGATGGGGCAGAGAATGGGATGGATGGGCAGAAACAATGATGATGGGGCAGAAAAATATATGAGGGGCCAGAGAAGGGATGATGGGGCAGAGAAGGTGGTCATGGGGCATAGATGTGATGATGGGGCAGAGAAATTGATGGGGGGGCAGACAAGGGGTGATGGGGCAGAGAATGGGATGGATGGGCAGAGAAGGTGATGATGGGGCAGAAAATTATATGAGGGGCCAGAGAAGGGATGATGCGGCAGAGAAGGTGGTCATGGGGCATAGATGAGATGATGGGGTAGAGAAATTGATGGGGGGGCAGAGAAGGTTGTGATGGGGCAGAGAATGGGATGGATGGGCAGAGACAACGATGATGGGGCAGAAAAATATATGAGGGGCCAGATAAGGGATGATGGTGCAGAGAATGCGGTCATGGGGCATAGATGTGATGATGGGGCAGAGAAATTGAGGGGGCAGAGAAGGTTGTGATGGGGCAGAGAATGGGATGGATGGGCAGAGACAGCGATGATAGGGCAGAAAAATATGAGGGGCCAGAGAAGGGATGATGGGGCAGATTAGGGGCATAGATGTGATGACGGGGCAGAAATTGATGGGGGGGAAGAGAAGGGGTGATGGGGCAGAGAATGAAAGGAGGGGCCAGAGAAGGGGTAGGTGGCATACTTGTTGGCTTTGTTCTTCAGGTCCAGGAGTGTATCATCGGTGTGCTCACTCGTCCTTGCGCACTCGAGGTACCATTTGATGTAGGCGATGATGACGTCCAATTGAGATTGTGGCAATATCCCTCGCACCAAGAAGGGTAGCACTTGCATAACCAAGCGGTGCTCATACGCTTGGTAGTTCGCACCCTTCACGAAGTACTCTTCCGATGGTAGCCTCATGTTCCCACCCCGTAGCATGCTCTTCACGTACTTCAACCGCTTATCAAACTCTCTCAACCATGATGGACGCTTCTTCTTTTTTAGCACGTAGTGGCGAATTGAAGCGATGATGTGCTCGAGAATGCCCAAGTCCGCTTGGTGCATTATGTCGGGCAGCACGGCAAGGCCCGGGTTCAACATCGGCACGTGTTCCCACCTCCAACCCCATAAGTAACTCTGCAAGAGCACAAAGGCGCACCACATACGTAGAAGGACAATGAGTAAGTACAAGGATGAGGAAGAACAAGAGGAATATGAAACTAATAGAGGTGTAGACACGAAACCATACCTTAACGGGGTGTGTGGAGAGAGTCTCGTAGGATTCCGGGTCAATGATGCCACTCTTAATCCCTTGCACGACCCGGTTTTGCTCGGAGGGAGTTCTAGGCTTAATCCGGAACTCAAACCTCTTGAGCTCATCCTTATGTACCTTGCACAAAGAGCAAGGATATGTGGTGCCGAGAGATTTGGTGCATGTAACCTTGAACGACTCCGGGTCATCCGTGACGTGGGCGTATACTGACGGCCACACATTGACTGTCTCGCCCTTTGCATTCTTCATCTTGACCCCCGTGTGCGATGCTCTCTTGAGGCCCGCCATTACCTCGTTCACAACGTAATGGAAGACATCCGTTCTGTCGAGAGACGAGTACTCTGGCGGGTACTCGGGGAGCAATGCAAGTAGGACGTGTCCATACGGTTTCCATTGATCGTCCTTGTCGATGTTTCCAAGTGTTAGGTACGCCGGATGGCCCTTTGCCTTGCCACGATGGTCCATGTGTGTTTCGTCACTCGCAATTATCAAAGCAGCCACCACGCCCTCTGGATCCACCTTACGAACCTCCGCCTGCAATTCTTCCCACCACTTCCCGGTCTCTGGCGTTGAGTACACCCGCTTCTCGCCATCATATTGCGGTGAACTAACCATGCACATTTGAGAGGCTAATTGGTGATGGGCTAGTAGATCTTGGAGAGCTATTAATCCATCGCACGCCCAATACTCCAACCACGCCTTGTCTTGGGACTGAACTAACCGCCGTTGCCACCCTCGGTGCGAATCTGGTCTTTTGGACTCGGCATAGGCATGTACATCCTTCACATTCTTCCATTGGAGGACGTCGCGGATGTCCAACTTCTTGTCATGCATGAGATCAAATAGGGCATTGATCTGGCTATTGGACAAGCTGCAGGTAAGCAAGAAATGTGCCCAAGCGTCCAGAGTGTTCCTACGAGGAGCATCATTTGACCTGTCAACGTCGTCCTCCTGCCTCCCCTCCTCAGCAACCATCCCAAAGTTATCATCGTCACATGGTAAGCTAGCATTTTCACTACTGTGTCTGCTACTATCACTAGCCTCATCAGCATCAAATCCGGGTGGGACCATGCTTCTCATAGCTACCCCGGCAGGTTCATCATGGTTGTCCATAGAGCCTAAACCACCAGATGGGTCTTCTTGTCCGCTACCATGGATTCCGGTGCCATCGCCAACACCACCACTCAAAGACAATGATGGAACGGATGTAGGGCGAGCACGCTTGGACACACTCGCTTCAGGGGACCGTCGTATGGCACTCCGAGCTGCGGCAGTTGCCTCGCAAACAGGGTTGGTCATGTGACCTAGCAGTGCTTGCCGCGTCTTTACATCCTTTCCGCATTTTTGACAGGTAACCATTTGCGCCACTACATGATGGGTGCGTTGAGGAAACATATTTGGAACCAAGAGGAACAAAAAGGAGTGAAGTGTGCGAGTATGGACGGAGGGGACAGAGGAGAAGAGGAGGGGGAGGAGAAGGAGTGGAGGGGGCAGAGAAGGAGCGGAAGGGGCAGAGAATGAGGGGAAGGGGTAGGGAAGGAGAGAAAAGGACAGGGGAGAAGAACAGGGGGAGGAGAAGGAGAGGACGGGACAGAGGAGAAGAGTAGGGGGGGGATAAGGAGAGGATGGGGCAGAGAAGGTGGGGAAGGGACAGATAACAAGAGGACAGGGCAGAGCAGGAGAGGAAGGGCCAGAGCAGGAGAGGAAGGGGCAGAGAAGGAGAGGAAGGTGCAGAGAAGGAGGGGAAGGGACAGAGAAGGATAGGAAGGGGCAGAGAAGGAGAGGAAGGGGCAGAGAAGGAGGGGAAGGGACAGAGAAGGAGAGGAAGGGGCAGAGAAGGAGAGGAAGGAGCATAGAAGGAGATGAAGGGGCAGAGAAGGAGAGGAACGGGCAGAGAAGGAGAGGAAGGAGCATAGAAGGAGAGGAAGGGGCAGAGAAGGAGAGGAAGGGGCAGATAAGGAGAGGAAGGGGCAGAGAAGGAGAGGAAGGGGCAGAGAAGGAGAGGAAGGGGCAGAGAAAGAGAGGAAGGGGCAGAGAAGGAGAGGAAGGGGCAGATAAGGAGAGGAAGGGCCAAATAAGGAGAGGAAGGGGCAGAGCAGGGGAGGAGACGGACAACGTGAGGAGGTGACGACAAGCAGATTAGAGATGATACACAGCTATGGATAAGAGGGTGTGTCGAAGGAGGCACATGTACAATAACGCATCTTATGCCACCCTGATAGTAACATTCGTTCATACAAGAAGCCAACGAGTTCATTCACTGGTCAAACAACTCCTTGAAACCATCAAGTACATCATCAAATACGCCCAACTCTTGAGTGTGCAAGGGGTCTGGATTCAATGCATCCTGCCACCACACATTATGGTTGGCTGCACGGGCGGTACAGGTTGCTGCAGGCCGGCTTCGAATTGGATCATCCGCCACGCACATGAAAAATGCGTGGTGTCGGCCATTGTGTGGAACAAAAACGACATTGAATTCTCGTGTAAGGTGTCGGTCCATGGTTGGTGCCTTACAACTTGCGGAGTCTTCTCAGCTGGCCCAGCGTAAAAGCACACAGAATTGTGCTGGGGAAGATACACGTAGAGTGAGGCGCAGATACAGAGGTGAGCCTAAAATGCTAAACACTGGAGCGAGTGGGGTGGGAGCAATCCAAGATGGCAGAATTCCGGCAGTAGGGTGATAGGCAAGGAGCATAACAGCAGGAAGGGTGGTAATGAGCGAGAGCGGACAGTATGGAGGCGTAGCTCACCACACTGTAGCTCGATGCCGTGCTCAGATGAGGCGATCAGAGTGGCAAATCGAAATGACGGGGGCCCCAACAAGTCACACATGCATCATGCTTTTCCGCGAGTGCTCATGAAATCAAGTGTCAAACAGACGCTCCTTGTCTGGGAGGACAAGTGTATAGGGTGGCGTTGCATGAGAACGTGAATCTGAAATATCATGTGCATGCTGGACGAGAGCGCAACAGGTGGACAGGAGAGAAGCCCAAGAATGAACAAGACAGATATAGCAGAATGCGAGGACGGGAAGGAGCAGAATGCGAGCACGGGAGAGAGCGGATTGCGAGCACGGATGAAAGCGAAATGCGAGCACAGACGAGATCGGGTTGCAAGCACGGATGAGAGCGGAATGCGAGCACGGGATAGAGCGGAATAAGAGCACGGGAGAGAGCAGGAGCGGCGAACGGCGAATCCGCGGCGCCTTGAGAGAGAGAAGCGCGGTATAGCTGAAAAGGCACACTGCTCACTGCTGGACGGTCTTCGCTGTTAAAGGATCGAGTTCGAACCGTGAAACCAACAGTTGCAAATCATGACCTGAGAGCAAGGGAGAGAGGACAACCGAAATGAGGGATAGTGTACGTTCAGCAAGGTGCGGAGCAGTAAGGCATCAAAAGCGAGTTCAGTCGAGCGCGGATCGGTGTGAATCAAAGCTGGGATGAATGCGCTCAACATTTTCCCCTACCGTGTCGTGCCGCGCCTACTGCATTCCCCTTCCCTTGTGTGACGCAAAGCGCCTACCTTGTTCCCGTAGCTTTAGCAACGTTGGGACCCCGAAATGAAACCAAGCCACGACACTTGTTCACCCTTGTGCGGGCGAATGAACCCCAGCAGCGGCTTCGCAAGGGAGTTCTGCAACGTTTCAAATCTCAACGCTTGAAGCGCCACTAAAGCCAGGCCTGCACCTGATCCCACATGTGCGGATGCTCTGTATTACTGAACAAGCATCGCACCTGATTTCTGAAGGTTGCTTGGGTGGATCAGGAGGGTGACAGCGATGACGGACAGCGAACCCGAGCAACAATGAGGCGTATGGGGGGGGGGGGGGGGGGGGATAGCGTGAAGGTGAAGCACCTAGACCCAGAGCGATATGCGCGACACAGATTATGGGGCGGTCCGCAGAGCTCTGGAGCGATAGCTGCTGGGAAAGTGGACGGTCACTAAGAGACCTAGAGGAGATGCACGGTGTGCTTCGAAGAGCTAGTGAAATGAGGTGAGAAACTGACTTCGAGAGAGAAACGGGCCTTGGCGGGAACAAGCGATGTCGCGACTCCGGATGTGGGACAAACTTGCATTAACGAGGACGCCAACAATTGCAAAGCCACAGTAGTTGATCATGCCCAAATCAAACGTTGGCTATTTTAGCAAAGCTACATAATCCAACGTAATACACTTGTAGACAATCTTTTACCCTACAACACTGCACTCCTTGCCCATCAGCCCTAGTAAGAACTATAGTTTCGCCCAAGCAATATCAACTAGTAATGTTACTATTTAAGCCGTGTACCTTGCCTGGATCAGACTAAGCATTCTTCGCATAATGATAATGCAAGGCCATTTTATATTGTTGGTACCCCTAAGTGTTGAAACGGTCCAAGGGTACCTCATTGTGTCATTATAATTTGTTGAATGGTGTCCTTATTATATTAAACACCCTCTAGCTTTGACTAGTAGACTACACTATGTACCTAACTGAAGCTGTCCCGACTCGAGATGGCTGCCAAATGATGTGTGTAGCTAAATATTTGTCCAAACCCAGCCGGAATGAGTGAAGTAATGGTGCTAAAAAATACCGCCTCGATGATGAAACGGTGACATGTTGCGTACTAGCCTATCCTTGCACACTTTCAGGCCATCAAATGCACAAACAAGTGTCACGTGCTGCGTAGTTGTGCGAATGAGACCGAACTAGTTCCAATGACAAGGTAATTTATTGAAGCATCTGAATGAGTGGAGAAATGGTGCTAAAAAAAACAACCAGATGATAAGACGGTGACATTTTGCGTACTAGCCTAGCCCGGCAACGTTTCAGGCCATCGATTGCACAAACATGCGTCACGTGCTACGTAGTTGTGTGAATGAGGTCATACCAGTTCCAATGATTAGGTAATTGATTGAAGTATCTGAAAAAGTGGAGAAATGGTGCTAAAAAAAACAGCCAGATGATGAGACGGTGACATGTTACGTACTAGCCTAGCCTGGCACAGTTTTGTTGGGTGCAAAATGAAATTTGCACGTCAACCTGTCGCCTATTCGTCGAGCGAGGTGAACTTTGAAGGTATCTGTTTTAAGGTATTTTGTGTGGTGTGGAATGAGCATTTGTGTACTGATCATTTTGGCGTTTACGGTTTGTGAATCGCCTTAGCGGTTCATGAGTTATGTGCATTTTAGTGTGAGGTTGCATTCATGATTGTTCGTGTGAATTTCGTGTTGTTCGTGTTGCGTCATGAATGTGCGTGAAGTTCCGGGTGTTCCGAAGATTCATGGTCCTTCGCGTGTTCATGAATGTTTGTGTGTTGTTCGTGCGAGCGCTCATGTTCGTTCATGTGCGCTCATATTTGCTCATGACTGTTTATGTTTCTTTCATGGTTGTTCATGCTTTGTTCATGCGTTTTTCATGAGTGTTCATGGTGAGGGTCGAGTGTGTCGGGGAGTGGGCTCGAGCCTTTGACCGAGCCCTTTGACTTTTCTCGCGCGAGTCAAAGGCGTGAAAGTCAGGACCCACGCGTGGGGTCCTGACACACGCGCGTGCGGCCTGACAAGAAGTGCGCGTGTGTCGGCACTGTTTTGATCGTGCACAGTGCGCACGATCGATACAAGACGAAGCAACATGATCGCTTCGTCATGCGCAGGACAACGCACGATCGCGTCAGCGATCGTCTTGTCCTGCACGACCGAGAAATATCTCGGTCGTGATGAGGGACACGTGGGGCACTCGAGATTGCGGTTGACTAACGGGATTTCGCGCTGACTTGGTGTGCACGAAAATTCACCAGAAAGTCGCGCTGCTTTGCGTCATTATTTTGACAGAGGTACAAAACGGTAAAGTCCATTTGTAACTGAAAAACGGCATTCTCACACGAGCGTTCATGATCGCACACGAGTAAACATGAATGTTCGGGAGGAGAGTCAGCAGGAGAATTTGGCAGCAGTACGGGTTGAAGACAGTTATTCTACAGAGGCAAAGCAAGCCAAATTCAAGCGCAGTTAAACAACCGTTTTGAATGACAGCAAGGCGAAGACCTGGACAACAGTTAGACAACTGCCTTGTGTGTATCCTTTGTGTGCCTAGGTCTTATTATATATGTATGCTTGTATTCGCTTGAGTGAATGAACACTCTGTGAATGAAAATTGCTCTATCAACGTATTGACGTGAAGAGCTGATTCTGCATACGAGCCAATTCGTCGTCAACGCTGCGCAAACGAGCTTGGGAGCGTTCTAGTGCACGTGATTGGATTTACGCTTAGTACGTCCCTCGACAAACACGGACCCTTGGTTAGGGGCTGGCTTTGCCAGGCACCCGAGGACCATTTGAGGTGACCCCGTGGGGACTAACTAGTGTGTATTAAAGGCGTGCTTAGAGCTTCTAGATCCCATATATTACTCAACAAGTTTCAGGCCATCGATCGCACAAACATGCGTGACGTGCTGCGTAGTTGTGCGAATGAGATCATGCCAGTTCCAATGATTAGGTAATTGATTGAAGTACCTGAATGAGTGGAGAAATGGTGCTAAAAAAATCAGCCATACGACGAGACGGTGACATGTTGCGTATTAGCCTAGCCTGTCACAGGTTCAGGCCATCGAACGCACAAACAAGCGTCATGTGCTACGTAGTTGTGCGAATGAGCCCAAACTAGTTCCAATGATTAAGTAACTGGTCGAAGTATCTGAATAAGTGGATAAATGGTGCAAAAAGATTGTCATGATGAAGAACGGTGACATGTTGTGTACTAGCCTATCCTTGCACAGTTTCAGGCCATCGAACGCACAAACAAGCGTCACGTGCTGTGTAGTTGTGCGAATGAGCCCAACATAGTTCCAATGATTAGGTAATTGATTGAAGTATCTGAATGAGTAGAGAAATGATGCTAAAAAAAACAGTCAGACGATGAGACGGTGACATGTTGCAAACTAGCCTAGCCCGGCACAGGTTCAGGCCATCGAACGCACAAACAAGCGTCACGTGCTGCGTAGTTGTGCGAATGAGCCCAAACTAGTTCCAATGATTAGGTAATGATTGAAGTATCTGAATGAGTGGAGAAATGGTGAAAAAAAAATAGTGCTTATTGCTATTGGCAGATGATGGCTGGCACATGTATGTCGCATACCACGTGAAGCTGCGTCGACTGTCTTTCGCACCGTCATCGTCAGATATCGCCGACCCCAAATTCATTGAGGAGGTTTTCATGCTAAGTCAGTATCGACACATCGACCCTGGATGATACCGAATTGTTGCATGCGCAACACGACGTCGTTACACTACATCAAATAATATCGAGGACTTCATCAATGGGGAGGCTTTCTGCACCGAGTCATAGTTACCATTCCATCTTGCTGCATGAATGTTCGCTTAGGCCTTTGTCGCATTGTAATGTTTTGCTTTTTTTTAACCTACCTTTGCTCGTCCTATCGGTTGCACTTGTAACAATTGTGAAGGAAATGAAAAAATGCAGCAAGCCTTATCCAGAAATGCATTTTGCATTCTTTACAGTGTCTAATCGCCCAACCCGTACACTCCCCTCGTATCGTGCCTCTGATTGCCAGCACAGCTCTGTATCGCAAAACTGTATCTGTTCGGGCCGACGCTGCGTCATGTTTGTGCAAAGCTTTGCCACGTTGTTACAGTTAACATACATGTGCATCATAAATGACCAATCAGGGTTGTTTGCAAACAACTGCTGTCACATTTGGATGGCGTTTGTAAACTGACAGCTGGCTGCGTTGGCACCAACAAGACCGCGCTACGCGCTCTGGGTCCCAGAATGAACCTTACTTGGCCACTCGCTTCCACGAAGCCCGCCCAAAAAATTGTTAAGATGTATTTTTCGGGCACCTTGCTAAAGTCTCTGAGCGTGTACAATATATTCACCATCGGCCTTCCCACCCACATTAAAAGGGTGTTGACAGGCGGTTACAGCTCAAAAGTGGCAGAATTTCAGATGGAGCAACGCGGTACTGCCGTAGGCCGGGCAGCTGATTTAGGCGGAAAAAGAGTGCTTGGACCGGAAGGTCGAAACTAGACTGGAGGGGTCACCCTGCCTTCCTCATTCTCGAAATCGGGTGAGCCAGACCTCACAGAGGAGGCAGAGGAGGCCCTGCTGGTGCGCTTGCTCAAGCGTAAAGCAGCTAGAAAGACGGGGAGGAGGAGGAAGAAGGGTTCACTGAAGAAGATACAATAGAAAACCGCCGACAAACCCCTTAGGACCTCGCCGCATGGCACGGCCGCTGAACCCGTGCCGATGACTGAGACGGAAGCCGCCGATGCACCAGCCACCGTAACCATAGCTGGCCTAAACTGCCAGCTTGTTACTTTCCCTGTAGACTCCGAAGCTTTGCGTGATGGCTACTATCAGTCGCAAGTCAAGGAAGGCGACGAGGGAGGCGTTGAGGCAGGCAGCGTGGAGGGCGATGCAGAAAGCGACGAGGAGGACAATTCGGAAGGTGCGGAACAAGAGGACGGTGAAGATGCAGAAGGCGAGGAGAATCGACCGATGCAACTTTTCGAGCGGCTGCGCACGCTGGAGCTGCCGTTGGTAACGGGGTTGCTCCATGTGAAAACCAGGTTCCGATCAGAGGAGGCCGTTCATCTCGTAAGCGCGTTGATACAGTTTTTCCTCTCTGTTTTATTTCTCTCCCATCCGCATGTGGTTTGTTCCGATGTATGTGTTAATGCTATTTATTTACTAACCTCGAGAAATGTTTGCTCATGAGTTCTCCACATTGCAGTTCCCGATGCTCATCATGCCGCCATCAACCGAAAACTTGAATCCGAGCTAGAGGACCTGCGTAACACCTTGGCCGTCATGCAGTACAACTTAACGACGCAGCAGCAGATTGAGTTGGAGAGGGATGAGCTGCGTCGAGAGGTTGCTGCGCTTCGGGATGAGATTCTGGCTTTCCGATCCGGTGCGCACGCAATGGATGGACCGGATGACGTGGACGACCCCCGAATCAACATGGACAAGCTGCCGAAGGTGGATGGGAAAATCCACGTTCCCACCAGCTTGTCCGACAACGACGCGTTCATGGTGAGTTGAGTTTTTTGAGTGCTTTGCAGTTCGTGAGTGTATGTGTGCGGATCTGTGAGTGTATGGATGTGTGTGTGCATGCATGAGTGATATTCGACGTCACTCCCATCCCTAGACTGACGTCTTTTCCTTCCGATTTTTTTCGTTCCCTTCCCTGAAACGGAAACACGCGCTCAACGTGTATGTCATCATGATCACTGCTGGGCCGGCCAAGACGATGCAGTTCTACCCCGATTGGGTAGAGCTTGTTCCTCTGATGGTGCGGCGGTATGTGCGGTTGGGTGTTTGCAAGGACCTGTACTACTTCGTTGCTAGAGGTGACAAGCAGAAGGAAGACGAGGCAATGGATAAGATTGCCAACAAGCGGCATGAACAAGACAATGAAGCTGTATGGCTGCGGTGCTCGAGGTGGCGTGGCGTGTCAGAATGTTATTGTCTAGCCTGTAGTGGGGTGCTCTATAGCGGGTACAACCCAACTAGGGTTTGCTATATGTATCCCAACTGCTGCTAGTACAACCCTCCTTTCTTCATTTCTCTCTTGCCTAGCTAGCTAACCCTAGCTATGGCTCCTCACTCTACCTACGATTCTCACATGCTATCAGAGCATCTACGCTCCTGGCCTGTGGGCCCACCTAACTGCTTCCGCTGCTACTCTATCTGTTGCACGCCCCGTGGCGTGCGAATTTTTTTTCGGTTTTTCTTTCCGCCGTGCGCTCGGGGCGCGCGGCGGTTTTCTGCCCGCCATGCGCCCCGAGGCGCGCGGCGGTTTCCTTCCTTGGAGACCCGCGCGCGGCCCCTGCCCTGCTCGTCGCGGCGCCCTGGGGAGCACGCGCGGCCCCCGCCCTGCTCGTCGCGGCGCCCTGGGGAGCACGCGCGGCCCCCGCCCCTCACGTCGCGGCGCCCTGAGGAGCCGCGCGCGGCCCCTCGCTGCCCCGTGGTGGCGCCCTGGGGGCCGCGCGCCACCCCTGGAGCCACGCGCGGCCCCTCGCTGCCCCGTGGTGGTGCCCTGGGGGCCGCGCGCCGTCCCCCTCGCCGTCCCCCGCACTCCTACCCCGTGCCACCCGTTTTAGGGTTTGGGGGTGGGGAGTGTGGGGGTGACGGTTGTGGGGGTGCCGGTTGTGTGCGCCGTCCCCTGCTCCTCCTCCTCCTCCGTCTCCCGATGCCGTAGCTGCCGCTCAGGGGGGTGGGTGTGTGGGAGCCGAAGGAGTGGTGCTAGGGGGGTGACGTGGGAGTGGAGTTAGGGGTTCAGCAGGGGGTGTGTGTCAAGGGTGTGGGTCAGTTGGAGGAGGTTGTGTGGAGGTAGCTGTCGTGTCGCCTGCAGCGCGTGTAGTCCGTCGCCCTTGCTTCGGTAGCCAGTGAGCCTGTTGCACCAGTCGCCAGTGGGTCCGTTGCTCCTGCCGCTCGTCTATAGCCGCGGAGCCAGTCACTCCAGTAGTCCGTCGCCCTTGCTTTGGTAGCCACTGAGTCAGCCGCTCCTGTGCTTGTGGCTCTGCAGCTTCAGTCGTTGCCTCCCATCTTCTCTCCGTCCACAGTACTCTCCTCCTCCTCACTTGCCCTCTGTGATAGCCTCTAGCTTTGCTTGCCATTGTGAACCTGCTCTATGACTGTGTGCTCTGCTGATTACACCCCACTTTGGCTATGGGGGTGTGTCAGAATGTTATTGTCTAGCCTGTAGTGGGGTGCTCTATAGCGGGTACAACCCAACTAGGGTTTGCTATATGTATCCCAACTGCTGCTAGTACAACCCTCCTTTCTTCATTTCTCTCTTGCCTAGCTAGCTAACCCTAGCTATGGCTCCTCACTCTACCTACGATTCTCACATGGCGAAGGAACGGTGGCCTGAGCTGGAGCAGGTGGGACTGAGGCCAACCGTCTTCAGAGATCCTGCCGTCTAGACGGCTTATTTCAAGGATGGTGAGTTAGTTGAAATCGTGGTAAATGCAAACATTTGCAGACTCAATCATTGACGTTTGTTTTTTTCTTCCCTTGCAGGCAAATACGGCTCACGATGGCATTGCTCTGCCCAAGGCCTACCATTTGCTAACCTGGCATTTGTGCTGGCTGTGACGAAGGGATTCTGCAGCACCCAAGCCTCTTCCCCCTGAAGATCCCTGGCATTGGCTATCTCTGCCATGTGGTAAGTGGTTGTTATATTTATGCTGCTGCTCTATGTTTAACACCTTGTATTGATAAATGTTTAACATCTACCTTGTGCTTTCTTACAGGTAGAATGGCCCATGGCTCACTGGAAGGGCAAGAACTTGCCGTCCCTGGACACTGTCAAGCTCAACAACCGCAACTGTGTGACAACAAAAACTGTTGTCTGTGCATCCTGGCTGAAGGATTATCTTGAGAGGAACCCTGCGCTCTTCAAGGCAGATGCGCCCCAGGGTTTTGAGATGTGTGCTGGTTTTCAGGATGGTAACAAGGAGATGAAAATGAGGATTTTAATTGAGGGTTGGGAATCTTCTTCTTTCCAAGTGGGGTTCCCCAGGTGGGGGATTGGCCTGAGGCTTGAGTGTATTAACCTGTTAATTATTGTATCTGCTTTTGCAAAAATGTATTGATTAACCTTGCGCGCTCAGTAATTATATCATGTAGTAGCCCCAAATAGCACCCAAAAGAAATATTGCATTCAGAAATAAAATTATTCCTATTTATAATTGTTATAAATAACACTACCCTATTATTGACACACAAATGAAATATTTAATGTTCCGACATTATCACAAATTGTGCTTCTCTACCAAATCGAAATAAAGTATGACGACAGTGTATTGAGGGGTAACCACGAACGATTACCGCATTACCTCGCAGTACAAAATCGCGGGGTAACAGTAACCAGGCGCTGGGCGATTTTTTCTGTGAAATTGCCATCAAGGCGCCATCAAATTCGTTATTTCTTAACGAATTTGGTGGCGCCTGGTTACTATTACCCTGGTTACCTGACGGTAAACTGCCACGCAAGCACAATCTTGGGAGGAGAATGGGGCAAATCCGGGGGGCTCGGGAAATGGTCGAACCCCAAGCACTCCAGAAGCTGCCTTCTTCCATGACTGGCGGTGTTGGCCAAAACCTGGCCGAGAACTACGCGCCACTGCAGCAGAAAAAGCGGGCGTAACCTCTAGTTCACGAACTGCGCGGAAAAAGGGAAATTAAGCCCATACGCCACTCCATTTACAGACCACAAGGGAAACAACCGATTTCACCTAGCTACACGCGCTGAATCTCCCAAAACTACCGTTATTTTTCCAGACATTTTTTTGATATATTTGTACCGGTGAATCCGCGACTAAAACTCTGCAATGGTGACTTGGCAATGGTCACTCCGCACCTACATATCAGTGTCAAACTCTTATGCTATAGTCTGTGTAGGCTGTAGTGGGGTAGACTATATGGGGTACAACACTTCTAGGTTTTCCTACTTGTACCCACCTGTTTGCTAGTTCATTCATTCCTCATTTCTTCACATGGTATAGAGCAGGTTCCCTAGTGGGAACGCTTCCTTGGGCCCACCACTGAAATTTTTTTTTCTGACCGGAGCGTCAGTCGCTCCTGCCCGAGGGGCGCCTTGTTCGCCGCCCTTCCAGGCCCCTAGCGGCCCCTAGCGGCCTCGTCGCCGCCCCAACGTGGCCCCGTCGCCGCCCCTAGCGGCCCCGTCGCCGCCCCTAGCGGCCCCGTCGCCGCCTCTCTCCCTACGCGGCCCCGTCGCCGCCCCTACGTGGCCCCGTCGCCGCCCCTAACGGCCCCGTCGCCGCTCCCCTCCCTACGCGGCCCCGTAGTCGCCCCTAGCGGCCTTGTCGCCGCCCCTACACGACCCCGTAGCCGCCCCTAGCGGCCCCGTCGCCGCTCCCCTCCCTACGCGGCCCCGTCGCCGCCCCTAGCGGCCCCATCGCCGCCTCTGCCGGCCCGCCGCCGCCTCTCCCGAGCAGCCCAGCAGCTGAGCCGCCCAACAGCAGAGCCGCCGAGCCGCCTAGCAGCCGAGCCGCCGAGCCGCCGAGCCGCCCAACAACCGAGCCGCCGAGCCGCCCGACAGCCGAGCCGCCCAACAGCCGAGCCGCCCAGCAGCCGAGCCGCCGAGCCGCCCGACAGCCGAGCTGCCCAGCAGCCGAGCCGCAGAGCCGCCGAGCCGCCCAGCAGCCGAGCCGCCGAGCCGCCCTGCCGTCGAGCCGCTACTGTTCCTACCGGCGCTACTTACTCGGACTGGTGAGATCACTCCCTGCTAGGCCACTGCAGTCATGGCTACCCCCAGTGTTCTTACCTTTGATGCTGAGGGTCGTGCTGTTGACTTTGAGGTCTGGGTCGATGACCTCCAGCTGTTCCTACAGTGCGATAGGGCAGACGGACTCTCCCTGTTCGATCTCACCTCTGGTGCCTCCCCTGCCCCGCCTGCTACTGCTGACAGCACTGTTCGCTCACAGTGGGCCACACGCGATGCTGCTGCCCGTCTTGCTGTGCGTCGCCACTTACCGACCACTGAGCGTGCACACTTTAGCCAGTACAAGAGTGCTCAGACCTTGTACGACGCTGTAGTTGCACGCTACTCTTCCCCTGCCACTGCTGCGCTGAGCCGCCTCATGCTACCGTACCTCTTCCCTGACCTTGCTGCCTTTCCCACAGTCGCTGACCTCATTACGCACCTCCGCACTAGTGACACTCGCTACCGCGCTGCGCTTCCTGCTGAGTTCTGTGCCAAGAACCCCCCCCCCCATGTACATCACCGTCTACTACATAGTCAGCCGGCTCCCTGACTCCCTTCGCTTAGTCAGGGACCACTTCCTCTCAGTTTGCCCCACCACACTCACCGTTGACCTCCTCGAGGAGCGCCTCCTAGCAGCAGAGAAGAGCATAGTCGCTGTAGGAGCCTCTCGTGGTGACCCTCGCACCCCCGTCTTTGAGGGGTGTTCCCCTTCCCCCCTCTTGCCCTCTGTTGCTTCTGCTGCTGCGGCCGACCTCGTTGGTTTCGAGTCGGTCGGCGCTGCGTCTGCCCCTAGCGGGAGACGCCGCACCGGCAAGGGCAAGGGGGGCAAGGGCGCTGGGGGGGCTGGCGGGGGCGGTGGAGGTGGTGGTGGAGGCAGTGGAGGGGGTGGGGGTGGTGGTGGGAGTGGTGGCGGGGGTGGAGGTGTCGGTGGCAGCAGTGGAGGCGGAGGAGGCGGCGGCGGTGGCGGAGGGAGCGGAGGCGGCGGAGGTGGCGGAGGCGGCGGAGGTGGCGGAGGCGGCGGAGGTGGCGGAGGCGGCGGAGGTGGCGGAGGCGGCGGCGGCAGCGGTGGAGCTGGTTGCGGCTCTGCGCAGAGGAGTGGGTCCGGTGGTGGTCCGCGCCAGCAGCAGCAACGCAGTCGTGAGACCCTGTCCCCTCAGCAGCTTCGTGAGTGGTACGCTGCGCGTCAGCGCGGTGGGGGTACTGGTCCCTGCACCTACGTCCTCCGTACTGGCCGACACTTGGCTACGTTCACCCGTCGGCCGGGGTCGAGCCTGTACACACTTACTACTGAGTCTCCTCCGGCTGCTGAGTCTGGTCAGGTAGCTGTGTCGAGTCAGGTGTTTGCTGCAGCGTCCAGGTCTGGTCTTGAGTCTGCTCCCTGCTCGTGTCGTCTCCTGTCCCACCAGACTCTCCTTTGGCACCACCGCCTTGGTCACCCCTCCCTGCCTCGTCTCCGAGGCATGGCCTCCCGTGTCCTTGTCTCTGGTCTCCCCCGGTCTCTCCCTCCCCTACCTCCGGGGCCTGCCCCTACCTGCGTCCCCTGCGTCGAGGGGCGACAGCGCGCCGCCCCTCGCTCCTCCGAGTTTCCTCCGACAGAGGCTCCGCTGCAGACTCTTCACATGGATGTGTGGGGCCCCGCCCGCGTCCGTGGCCAGGGGCACGAGCGTTACTTCCTGTTGGTGGTTGACGACTACTCGCGTTACACCACAGTCTTCCCCTTGCGCAGCAAGGGTGACGTCACTGAGGTGTTGATCGACTGGATCCGCGCAGCTCGTCTCCAGCTCAGAGAGAGTTTCGGCTCGGACTTTCCTGTTCTGCGTCTGCACTCTGACAGAGGCGGGGAGTTTTCCTCTGCCCGTCTGGGAGCCTTCTGTCGAGCACAGGGCATCCGCCAGACCTTCACGCTTCCGGCCTCTCCACAGCAAAATGGGATTGCTGAGCGCCGCATTGGCATGGTCATGGACGTCGCTCGTACGTCCATGATCCATGCGGCTGCCCCCCATTTTCTGTGGCCGTTTGCGGTTCAGTACGCAGCGCATCAGCTCAACCTTCAGCCCCGGGTCTCCTTGCCAGAGACCTCCCCCACCTTGCGGTGGACGGGGAAGGTTGGCGATGCGTCTGCGTTTCGGGTCTGGGGATCTCGGGCGTTTGTCCGCGACTTGTCTGCGGACAAGCTGTCCCCCCGTGCTGTTCCCTGCGTCTTCCTTGGCTTCCCCCCTGACGCGCCTGGTTGGCAGTTTTACCACCCCACCTCGCGCCGTGTTCTGTCCTCCCAGGACGTCACCTTTGACGAGTCGGTGCCTTACTACCGTCTCATCCCCTACCGCACTGCGCCCCTCCCCCCACCGCCGCTCTTCCTTACGCCAGGTCCTCCCCCGGTAGACCCCCTCCCCCCTCAGGGTCCTGCCCCGTCAGGTGTGTCCCAGGTAGACGCAGTCGGGCCTGTCGAGGTAGCTGTTGACTCTGGTACTGCTAGAGGTGCTGAGCCTGCGGGTGCCGGGTCTGGAGGTGCTGAGCCTGAGGGTGCGGAGCCTGGGGGTGCTGAGTCCAGGGATGCTGAGTCTGGGGGTGCTGAGCCTGGGGTGCTGAGCCTGGGGGTGCAGAGCCTGGGGGTGCTGGGTCTGCTCGTGTGGCCTCTCGCGGTGCTTCGTCGAGGCGGGAGCCACTCTCTCCGCAGGAGCTGCGCGAGTGGTTTGCCCGGCGCTGGAGCCGTGCTGCTGGAGCTGGAGGTACTACTGTTACTACTGGTCCCGGAGGTGCTCGTACTGGCGGTACTGGAGCTGCTGGGGCTGGGGGTGCTGCTGGGGCTGCTGGAGTTAGTTCTGCTGGAGGTACTTCTGGAGCTGCTCGCGGTACTGGAGCTGCCCGTCCTGCTGGAGTTGGTGCTGCTGGAGCTGCTGGAGCTGGAGCTGCTGGGGGTGTTGGCGCTGGTGGTTCTACTGGCGCTGGTGCGTCTGAGGGTGCTGGAGTTGGCGCTGTTGGAGCTGGAGGTGCTGCTGGCGCTGGTGCTGCCGCTGGGGGTACTGGTGCTGTCCCTGCTGGTTCTAGAGGCGCTGCGCGGCCGAGGCCGTACTTCGTTCCGCTCCTTGAGCAGGTTCTTGGTCTCCCGCCCTCAACTGGTCCTGCTCCTTCCTTCGAGTGTCCACAGCCTGTCCAGTCGCGGTCACAGTTACAGCCCGCCTCCCCCCTACCTGCTCCTTCTCCCTACACTGGTCCTACTGGAGGTCTTGCTGAGCGTCGTGAGCCTGCGTCTCGTCCTGCGTCGCCTGTTCGTGCTGCTCGCACTAGTGGTCGTGCTCCGCGTCCGCGTCCTCCTGTGGTCCCAGGCACACATCAGATGGCACTGCGTCCTTCCACTGCTCCTCTACGTGTCCCGTTGCCGTCTCCTCGAGAGTCCTCTCTTCCTGTTCTTGCTGACCCGGAGTCTGACTCTCTTCGTGCTGCCAGTCCTACTGTCACGCGTCTCCTGGCTACTGTTGTCACTGACCCTTCCTTTGAGTCCACTGCTGCGTCGGCCCTAGTTGCTGAGCTTGTCGACTTTGCTGCTCGCTGTCGTCTAGACTACGCTGCTAGTCTTGTTGCTGAGTCTGAGTCTGTCTGTCCTCCGTCCGTCGGGGGTGAGTGTGCTCTTAGCACGGACGTCCTTGAGGACAGGCAGGAGGAGTTCCAGTGTTTTGCTGCTGCTTTGCCTCATCTCGTGTCCACGCTGATTGCCCCTGAGGGAGACCCGGATGCACCAGACATCCCGACTCCTCGATCGTACGCTGAGGCGATCGAGGGTCCCTACTCCTCTCAGTGGCAGTCAGCCATGGACGCAGAGATGGCTTCTTGGAAGTCCACAGGCACCTACGTCGACGAGGTTCCCCCACATGGGGCGAACATCGTTACTGGCATGTGGATTTTCAGGGTGAAGCGGCCGCCGGGTTCTCCGCCTGTCTTCAAGGCGCGTTACGTGGCAGGGAGTTGACTACTTTCAGACCTTCTCTCCCACCCCGAAGATGACCACTCTTCGGGTGCTGTTGCACATAGCCGCTCAGCGCGACTACGAGCTTCACTCTCTTGACTTCAGCACAGCTTTCCTGCAGGGCAGCCTGCACGAGGAGATCTGGCTGCGCCGCCCACCTGGCTTCACTGGGTCGTTTCCTCCTGGTACCCAGTGGAGCCTCCGGCGGCCAGTCTACGGTCTCCGCCAGGCGCCCCGTGAGTGGCACGACACACTGAGGACTACACTTGCGGCTCTTGGCTTTGCTCCTTCTACTGCCGACCCGTCGCTGTTTCTGCGCACCGACACCTCCTTGCCGTCGTTCTACATCCCCGTGTACGTCGACGACTTGGTCTTTGCCACTACTGACACTGCTGGACTCGCCCACGTGAAGTCCGAGCTGCAGAAGAGACACATGTGCACAGACCTGGGTGAACTGCGCAGCTACCTTGGCTTGCAGATCACCCGGGACAGAGCACAGCGCACCATTACCCTGACTCAGTCACACATGGTGCAGCAGGTCCTTCAGCGCTTCGACTTCACGTACTCCTCGCCTCAGGCCACTCCTCTGTCTACTCGCCACTCGCTCTCAGCTCTGCCTTCGGATGAGTCCGTAGAGCCGAGTGGCCCGTACCCAGAGCTTGTTGGCTGCCTCATGTACCTGATGACCTGCACACGACCTGACCTAGCATACCCTCTTAGCATCTTGGCACGCTATGTTGCTCCTAGGAGACACCGACCAGAGCACATGGCTGCAGCGAAGAGGGTGTTGCGCTACTTGTGCAGTACGTCGGGCATGGGGCTAGTGCTTGGAGGGCGACGTCGAGTGGTCCTCACAGGTCACGCAGACGCTTCTTGGGCTGACGACCAGGCTACGCAGCGGTCGTCACAGGGTTACACCTTCAGCCTTGGCTCCGGCTCTGTTTCGTGGCGGTCTACCCGCTCGTCTTCTGTTCTCGGCTCCAGCTGTGAGGCTGAGATCTACGCGGGGGCCATGGCTGCACAGCAGCTACGCTGGCTCACCTACCTGCTGACTGACCTAGGAGAGCCGCCTCATTCTCCTCCAGTTCTGTACGTAGACAACAAGGCCATGCTGGCCTTGTGTCGGGAGCACAGACTGGAGCACAGAACGAAGCACATTGCTCTTCGCTACTTCCTTGCTCATGAGCTGCAGCAGCGTGGTCAGCTGCGCCTTGCTTACGTGGCCTCTGAGGCCAACACTGCTGATATCTTTACCAAGGCACTTCCGCCTGGTGATCATCAGCGCTTCTGTACTATGCTAGGTCTTGTGCCTACTTGGCCTCACTTGCTCACTTCTTGACCTTGCTTGTACTGTGATCTTTCTATACCTGCACTTGCCTGTTTACCTTTATATATGATCTTGCATGTGAACTGGCCTTGTGGCCTTGTTGTTGTGCCCGGACTGTGTGGTGACGTTGTGATCCACCCTGAGCTTGCTTTGCTTTGCTTGACTGGTCTTGTGACCTCTTGTTCTCCCCCACTTTGCCTATGGGGGTGTGTCAAACTCTTATGCTATAGTCTGTGTAGGCTGTAGTGGGGTAGACTATATGGGGTACAACACTTTTAGGTTTTTCTACTAAAAGACAATTGCAACCACCCACTAAAAGACAAGCATGGTTAAATTTGCAGTTACTAAAGTAGTTTAGTATGTGCGATGGGGTCGCACTTTTGACGGCGATATTTCTCATTTGATGCGATCACAAATCATGTCGTTGGGCGAGACCATGCGACGTTGCAAGCGTTTGTCGCACACTGTGTTGAATACTTGGCCGTTTTGGAGTCGACTCGGCGTCGTTTTCGTGTCGACTTTTTAAATGGCCATCAAATTCGTTATTCTTTGCGAAATTTGCGACGGTCGCCACTTGACTTACGAATGTCGCAAACTGGTTACCTTTGCGAAAACGGCCCGACGGATTGTGGCCGATTTTTTGGAGTTCCCGATTTAACACGCCCTAACACCTTCGCTCCATTCCCTGAACGTAGCTCTGCCTTTCCTCAATCCGGAACGCTGCACTTACGTCTATTGGTGTAACGTATCGCCTTCCTACCCTACAAGCAATCCTAGCTAAAGCGCTACCTACGTAAGGTAGGGACTTACGGGAAGAGAAGGTTGGAGGAGATAAGTGGTGATTGCTCCACAATAGTGGACAACCACCCACTAAAAGACAAGCATGGTTAGGAACCAACCCAACCTCCACATTGGTTGGAATTCCAACCAATAGCAATTGAACATTTATGTTACAAGTTACAACATGTAACAAGACAATCCTTATCACAATTGTGTTGCTCCCATTGGTAGCAAATCCAATCATTGTGCCACCTAAGCAAACTCACACCTAGGAGCTCCTTGCCCTTGTTGCCATGGAGGAAGTGGAGGTCCCCAAGGAGGTCTAGGAGGGGGTGTGAGCTAACCAGGCTCATTCTCAACTCCCAACTTCCAATTAACCAAAATGGAAATGGGATTTCTCTCCAAGGACAAGACTTTCCCCTCACAAGTGCTTCAACTACTCTCTTGGTGAAGCTACTCCATCACTCTCAAAGCTTTAACTACCAAGCCTTCAAGACTCAAGGCTAGCATAGAGACTAGTTTATCTTGTATGTGCTTGTTGTTAGCGTTTTATAAGCCTACTATAGACCCTTTTGTGGGCATTAGTTATAAGCCCAGGTCTTTATTGTACTTTAAGGGCGTTCCTTTATAAGCCCGTGTTACATTTGGTATTCAGAGTTTTGGTTATCCTTGGCCCTGTGTGGCTAACTAGATAGGAGCTACTAGATCTTAGATCTAAAATAGCCTCAAGCTCTTCTAAGAAGAGTTGAGAGACTCCAAAGATCAAGAAATCTTCTTCAAGGATCCCAAGATCTAAAAGCTTTTTGAGCTGAAAGAGAATTTATTCTCTGTCCACCTTCTTGGTGGAAGACTCATAACTATTTTTAAAACAGCAGAGTGATACAAATCTAAGAGATCTGTTAAAAGATCCCTCTTAACTTGCTCTTTGAGCAGTTTGGGAAACTTTCTATATTTCTTTCTTGAAATAGAATATATATTTAACAACTCTTTTTATGTACCTTTCTCTATGTGAAAATATTGATCTATATAATAGATTTCTGAAAATTTTCAGAATCTCTTGCTTATCACCTTGAGTGATAGAGGACCCTTGTTAAGATCATATTTCTTCGCAAAGAAGAACCACTCTCCTTAAGCTCCATCTGAACAACTCCTCTATGGCTACTTCTCATGAGGGACCACCAAAGGAGGATGTCCCTATGACCTCAGTTGGGGAATTGGAAGACTTTCCTGACCTTGACCTTAATGCTGATGACATCATGGGGGACTTTCCTGAGGAAGAAGAAGAAGCACTGGGAAACCAAGAAGAAAATGGAGAACAGGAAGGGCTTGATGACCTCAGCACGGATGACAACTTTTCAGAGGAGTTTGAAAAACTTCAATCCACGTTGGCCGAGCAAGCATCTTCCTTGCTGTAGCAGAAACGCCGAATCAATGAGCTTGAGACTCAGATTGTTGAGGAGAAAACATCAATTGACATGGTCAAAGCTCAGCTTAACAAAGTCAGTATCGAGGCTCGTCAGTTTAAGAGGTCTCTTGGCCTCAAGGCCAACCATATCAAGAGCCTTGAGGATAATTTGCAGCAGCTCAATGCTACGTGCATTAACATTGAATTGGCCTGCACGATGCTGCAAGCGCAGAATAGGGTGTCAAAGTATATATATATATGCTACATATGTTTAGGCTAGAGTGGGGTAGCCAATATGGGGTACAGCCGACGCCTAGCGTACCGAGTTTGGCGACGAGGCTGAGCTCCCCGACTGGGTGGAGCTGCTTGGGCAGAGGGTAGATATATTTGCTCTTGACTATGATGCTATTCTCACTGCCATGTATGCATTGCCTACTAGTGTTGGCCGTGCCTGTTACCTGTGCGTACTGCCTGACCCAGGTATAGAGCCTGCTGCTCTCGGTGCTGGTGAGGCTGCTGCTCTAGGTGCTCGTGCGTCTCCTGCTCTAGGTGCTGGTGAGGCTGCTGTTCTAGGTGCTAGTGCGTCTCTTGCTCTGGGTGCTGGTGAGGCTGCTGCTCTAGGTGCTGGTGAGTCCGCTCTCTCTGGTACTGCGCCTGCTGAGGCCTTGTACACCTTCACACCTGACTCAGGTGCTTCCCGCTCCTTCTTTCACGACAGCACCACCCTCACGCCGCTCAGCCGGCCGGTTCCTGTCTCC